ATCTGTTTGGTATTTTGAGCAAAACACTTCATAGGCATGTTTTTTTATATATTTGTATATATCTGAGACCTATGCTATTGCCTAAAAATAGCATGATAGGTGACCTTTAAGTTTTAAAAGTCAAGATTTAATCTGAAGTGCGCCTTTATCAGTGAGCTGAAACTGAAATCTGAGATAATAACTTAGCAGCTCAGCCATTTGTCTCGCACTGCATCAGAAGCAGATATTCCATACCTATGTAATATGATCCGTCTGCTTATGTCACATATAACATTGAAAACAGCGGGTAGGGTTTGTGGGTTCTGATAAATCTCAGCATAATGTGCCACGACATGTTGGAGTTAGAAATAAATGATCCTTACTTCTACTAAACATTTATCAGCACCTTATCTAAACCACTAAGGGTACAAGTTCAGATATTTATTGTAGTGTTCGGAAAACATTTCTGGGAAAGACTTAAGACAGCCATTTTGTGACAGTAATGACAACAAAAAATAACTGTAAGAGCAAAGTAGTAATATCAGATGGGATTAACAAAGAAAATATTATTCATATCATTTTACCTGCCGGATGACCCGAGTGTCATTGTCGTCTTTCATGGAGAAGATGGGGAAATCGAACTCCTCATAGGACAAGCCGTTTCCAAAAGGGTTCCACACGGTCACGTTACAATGAGCCAAGGATGGATCGTAGGTCTCTGAATACACACCTGGGGGAAATACAAGTGTGTACTGTGTGAGCAGACTTTTATAAATAAATTAAAGCTAAAACTAGTATCAGTTTGTAGCTGCCTCATTTCTACAAGCGAGCTTCATGTAAAGAGGTTAAGGCAGCAGAAGATCATGGGTATTGTAGTTTTTAACGCCATTTCTGCCAATTTGACTTAAACATTCAAAAGTTAAAATGTAAAAAATTGATGGTCATTTTATTTAAACCTATTGCATTTTTTTTATTTAACCATTAATAGAAGATAATTAATAGATTAACAGAGACATCGGGAACTATCCACTCTTCTGACTTCACACTTGGTTTTAAAAATATAACTTTATGACTGTGACCTTTTGCATGTTTGTTGTTAGATATCATTTTCCATTTAAGACAGTAACTCTGCTTACACATGCAGACTTAACTGTATGGTATTTGTCTCACAGAACATACAAATTATAGAGGAATGAGAAATGAATTCAGTGCTTTAAGGTCACACATTTCTACATAGTGACATCACCATGTTGCAGAAAGCGTTCACAGAACATCTTGAGCCTTGGGAAGATCATAAAACTACAATTCATTTGTGTAAGTCTGAGCAGGTGAACCCTCCCTCACCTGTGTTCTCGTTGGGACAGGAGGTGTGTGGGGAGAAGCCCTCCAGCGGGTTTGTGTTCGGCATAATAACAGCGACGCCTGCCACCCTGCCGGAGCCGTTCTTCAGCTTCATCATGATGGATCTGACGGCAGACAGACGGCACGGTGTAAACGATACGGGTACAAACACAGGTCAGACATGGGTTCATGTGTTTTTCGTCCTCAGGGTTTAACAGGTGGAATTTACTCAATCACCTGTACTGCACATTTGTTTGACAGCGTGTTACCTATTGAGTTTTACTAACTGACATGTCATGAAGTAATTACATCTTCTTCAGCTGCTACTCTAACTTCAGAAGTGTGTATGATTTACTGAACTACTTATTTTCACTATTATTTAACCCACTCATTTCTCAAATTGCGTTGAAATGGTAGCTACAGGTGTAGTTTGCAGTACTTTAGGGGATGCTTTAGGGTTTTTTGGTGTTGTTTAAAAATATCAGTTATGCATAGTTTCTATATAGCTACAGTTTGATCAAACACATTATATTCAATGTGCCGATTTTCAATGCCATCTTTAACTTCAGTAAACTGTCAACTTTCACACAAAAAAAATCACGTTTACGTTTGTTCAGTTTGACCATGGCGCCTGTTTCAATGTTGAATGACAGACAAAAAATAAAAAATGATGAGTAGAATCAATACATACACCAAAAAAAAAGCGAAAAAAGTCCCATATTTCTCACTAAAAAAGTGCAACTTATTAAAAATAGAAGAAGCATTTACAGTTGAAAGAAACTACAATGCCTTCTTAGTGTTATTGCATGATGATAAATTAGTTTGCCGTGAATTTAGTGATGGATTATAAACATTTGAAGTGAAGTGTTCTTCAGAGACAAGGTGGTTGTTCAGTGAATCAGATACTGAAGGCACAGTACTGCATTGTGAGCTGTAAGCACACGTGATTTCGGACAATGTAAACTGGCCCTTACTAAGTAACTCGTGCTTCCTCTGCAGGGTGAGACGTGTTTACTGTACCTGGTAAAGAGTGCAGACTCCAGGATGACCAGATAAGGAGGATTGGCCCCAGTCCCCAGAACCCAGTCAACGTTCTCCTCTGACTCGAGCACATGAAGGACGCCCACGTTACCTGACAGCGAGGCTGAAAAGCGAAAACAGGAAACTCAAAATCAGTATCTGTGATATGAGATGTGGCCTCTGTCCTCTTCTCAATTACAGGAAATGTTTTTCTAGGGTGAATCTTTTTGTATACAGCAAAGAGAAAAGTGCTACTGCGGGGGCTTTTTGTGGTATACAAAAGGTACACTATATCTTACAGCTTCTTATTATCAGAACATGTCTTGCAACTTGTCTGCTCTAATCTTCTTTCTCAATTAATGTCTCTCTCTCAAAGTCACAACGTTGACTTGTTTCAAGATGTAAACTGCCTGGAGTTTGTAGTAAGCATTTGACTACAACATGTTCAGAGACCACAACCCATTTGCGAAGTGTTAACAGTAACAAGGATAGGTTGTTGTCATGAATGTCGTTGATGTTTGTTGTATTAACATCACAAGTACTTTGGAACACTTTTTTCTTTTGCTTTACTCACACTGGCATCCTATTTGATGTGTTGCATTGAGAAGTCGCACACAGGGAATAGTGTAATTGAGATGGACATAAATCTTCTTTTCCACTGAATTACAGCCGACACCTGCAAGAGAAAGAAAGCATTTAACAACTGCACAAAGAAGCAATATAACATGAGGGCACAGGATTTTACAGAGACTGCACAATAAAGAAAGGAAAACTGAATTTATGTCAAAGATAAATGGGTTTCAACTGTTCAGAGAACTTAAAACTAAAGTCACTTCTTTAACCAGCAAAATAACATTTGTATTAAGACTCTTTTTATTAGGACAAATATTCTTACTATAAAAACTTAAGTTCAGAGGTGGAAGAAGTACCCAGATCTTGTACTTATGTAAGAGTAGAAGTACCAGAGTGAATGAATACTCTGTTAGAAGTTAAAGTCCTGCATTCAAAATGTTACTCAAGTAAAAGTATTAGCATCAAAATATACTTTAAGTACCAAAAGTGAAAGTACTAATTGTGCAGATTGGCCCATTTCAGAAAAATATCTTATATGTTTGGATTATAATTATTGATCATTTAAGAGTTCTCAAAGCTGGTAAAGGTGCAGCTAGTTTAATAACTGTGTATGCTGCAGGGTAGCTTGTGAATTTTACTCCAGATGTAACTAAAGTCTTATTTATATTCCATATCATTAAAATAATGTAGTGGAGTAAAAGTACATAATTTACCTTTGAATTAAAGGGAAGTAGAAGTAAAAAGTAGCAATACATGTAAATACTCAAGTACTGTACTTGAGTAAATGTACTTCTCAGTACTCCCACCCCTGGCGCTATGTTGGAGGATCAACTGAATGCCGAATTAACGAGAGAACCCTTAACATCTAGGAAATATCTTCCTTTGTGAGTCAACTGCTTTCTTTGTTTCCAGACAACTAATACATATTAAAACGATGCTATTTGGCCTGACTGTTCCGGCATTAATCCCTCTAGGCGTCCGGTGGATCACGAGCAGTCACGCTGATGCTTGGTCATGAGGGCTGGCCCAATATATGAGGGAAAAGTCGCGAAAAACATTTAATAATAACAGTCCTGTAGTTATTTCTACAGTTAGTTGTCCCAAAGTGTAGAACAAAGCGTATAAAAACAGCTTTATTCCAGCAGCCATGGCACAAATGAACAAGTTGTAGCTGTTTCACAGTCACACATGGAAACAATGGCTATTTATGTATTAACTTTCTGGATTGTTTGTACAAGTGGTTTTTAAATATTTCTAGGTGTGACGGAGTAGTTTTTTTTATTTGTCTGTTGTCTGTGTGGTTTGAGTGTGTCATAATGATCCCTTGTCTTTTTTATCTGCAAAGCTATCTGCGGGTACAGAGTAATAAATTGAACCTGATTTAAGAGCTTCCAGATCATTTACATAACCCAATATTTGCTCCAGCGTCAAACCTCATTGTAAAACTTAACATTAACATCCGGCAATGGAGATGCAAACCAAACAGCTTCTGCTAACGGTGGTTAGCTTAGCATCCGGCTACACAAAGAAGTACAGGAAGCTAACTGACACAGAAACACATACTACTAAAGTAATTACTTAGGCACATGTAATTTCCGTTGTCAGAATAAAAACTTACCGATGAAAAACCAAGAAACTAGCAAATTAACTATCCATTTGTTCGAGAGCAAATCCATCTTCCTGGTTTAAAAAAGCAGAAACAACAGTGGGTGTTGACGTGAAAGACGTCCGGGTTCAATTGTTTTTTAGTTCCGCTCCCTTGAAAGGAGACGGACTCATTCAAAATGGCAGCTTTAAAATATCTGCAACGAAATAGTATTTTAAAATATATATTTATAAAACATTTTAGCGTGAGGTAAAACAGACATATACGTAATATATTAACGTATCTCTTTCTTACTCTGCTACCTACCATATAGCCAAATAAGGAGAGTCAACGCCTTTCACTTCCCTTATGACTCAGCCCTGTGGTGCACTTTGGATATTATTCCCCTCTATATACACACACAATAAAACCATCATCCTTTTATTGAAAGGTGTGTTTACATACCAAATAAAACGCAGCACACAAATACATTTCCTTTTGTAGACATTTTTATTTAGTTTTCACCCCCCTAGATACACGGAGCAGTGCTCTTTGAATTATTCTATATCACATACAGTAGCAGTCAGAAAAGAGACAACAGCTCTAATGAAGACACAACACAGAATTGCTTACAACAAGCTTTTAGCAGGATAGATGATGCAGGGAATAAGATAGTTAAAAGCATTTAAGAGGTTTAACATCACTGTGCGCAAACATTTATATCTGCTTTAATATTTAATGTCAATGTATTATTTGTGTAAGTGTGGATGCATTCATCTTTTTATTTTCCTCGTCTGGTCTTCATCTCCTCTCAACGAAACTGAAGAGGACTCACACGCAGACCGATCACATCCTTACCGATCTCAGTCACCTAGAAAATAAGGTGAAATTAAAAAGGTAAAAGGTAAGTACTTAATAAGATAACATGCTAATGTATTTTTCTAGTGAAAGACACGTATCTACACAATCACACAGAAAGACTCAATAATCCTTCTGAATAATCAACATCTGGAGTAGTTTATTGTATTTCAGGCTGTGATTTTGTCATTTCCCCCCTAATTTTCTTTGTTATTGAGTTTACTTACTCCCATATGGATACAAATAGTCCTAGTAATTGAACAAAATTCATTTTATGACCAAGAGATGAAACAAGATTTATAAATGTGTATGATGATGTTGTTCACAAATGCGTCTTCCTCCTCCAAACATAGCACCAAACTTGAATAAATGTCAACATTCAACATTAAGTTAATTAAATCTGTAGAAAGGGCCTTGAAATGTATATTAGTCACTACAATTGGAACTATTTTCCCTCCATACTATTGTAACTCTGATAGTCTTAAAAGTTTGTTTTCATAAAAGGAGTTGTATAAATGTAATCTTTTAATTTAAAGGTCCCCTATTATGCTGTTTTTCATCAATATATTATAGGTCTCAGATATATACAAAACGTGTCTCTGAAGTGTTTGGCTCCAAACACCAAACAGATCATTGCAGCATTACCCATAATCCCCTCTGTTTCAAAAGTGCTGATTCTCTGGCCGTTTCTCAATCTCGAGGAAACTGGCTTCCAAGCCAATATTTCAAGGATGCTACGTCATCGAGTGCCGCCGAAGGACTGTTCCAATCTCCAGCATACTTGGAATTCCACCGAGGCCGCGTCCTTGGATTTGGGGGAATTTCGAGCTGCACATGGGTTAGGGGTTTCGCGTCCTTGAAATCCCCACAATGCTTTTGCGCGCGACCAATTTCCCCAAATCTGTGGTCGGAAATGTAAGGCGGGACCTTCTCATATGACGCAACTGCACACTTGCTCGCTGTTCCCACTCTTCGTTTTCCGAATTCCAGGAAGGATTCTTGCCTAGCTGCTGAAGCAAGTGACTGGAAGAACATGGCCTCTGTTCTGTTACTTTAGATGGAAAATAAGGGAGCCCCTCCCCACGCCCCTCTGGAGAGACTATCTGGTTAAAGAACTCAATGGGCTCTAGGAGGAGATTCAGTGATAAGGTGGGGGGGGTTACCTCTGGTTGGTGATTGGCTAATGGTTTACACAAGCCAAAATCGTATATGACATCATAATAGTGCAAAATCTGATCAGCTCATTTCCGACAGGTTTTATATAATATGGATCAGGACAAAAGAGAGGAGGTTTTGTTCCTGAACTTTCAGAGTCTCTGTTCCACAGAGGGGACAACATGTTGATGAGAAAATACATTGGAAAGTGGTTTTGCAGATGATAGGTGGACCTTTAAGAGCTTTTCAGGATGGTTTGTACATTGCTGTCTCGAGTCTTGACCTACCTGAGTGACCCTGCAAGATCTGGCCTTTATGTACGGGTGGGCGTAGCAGGCTCCAGGACAGAAGGGCACATTCTCAACAGGACGTCCGTTACACGCGGGGACAACGACGCAGCGCACAGGTCGAAATGATTGTGGGGGTCGTATTCAACTGGTGCGCATCTGTGAGGGTCTTCTCACAGGGCTGCCAAAATCTTTGCGGTCTGAATGGTGGGAAGAGATGATAAAAAAAAAAGTATATTACTGGTCCAATAAGACTGTAAACTTGATAACTAATGTCAAATTATAAATCCCATTAATTGATGTGTGTGTCTAAAACACAACCTGCTGTGCAACATCTGGGACTTCGGTCCCACTCGAGCAGGCGTCGAGCGAAGCTGGGCAGCCGTCTTGGGAAGTTACGCAGCTTGAAGAGAGATCAGAGCTGTGCGCACCCACCAGCACCATGTGCACAGGCTGGAGATTCGTGCGTGAAATAAGCAGCCATCGTAGGGAAAACCCACATAAAACTTAGAAAATTAGACTAAGGAATGACATAAGTATAATGAAAAGATCAACTTGTGGAACATTTAGGCCAGTCACAACTACTGTTTTCCTCAATCAAGGTGACTTACAGATTTAGATCAATTTGTAATATAACATCCGGGAAAAAAGCAAGGGACTAGATATGTGACTTGCTCTATCGAAATCAGTTGCATTTGACCCGAAGACAGACTTTTGAGTTGTATACACTGCTGGAAAGGGATTTTCCTAGCTTTCTAATGATGTCAGGATTGTTTTTGTTCTCCAAATATTAAGCAAAATATGTCACATTATATAATGACGGTTACAAGAGTCATCATTTTGAAAAAAGGGCCTTTTAATTTACCTCTTCTCTGGAATTCCATCGATCTGATTGGTATTAGCAAATGATCAAATATACTACGGAGGGAAGATATTTTCGTTTTGGATTACGGTTTGGGAGAAAGCTCGCAGAGTGTGTGTTATACGTGTATGACTGATTATTAGCGGAGCAAATTATCAAAATACTACGGAGGGAAGATATTTTCGTTTTGATTATTGCACTCACGGGAAACACCGGCTGTTGTTATGCCTGTTGTGACGTTAAGTTACTCCGTTCTCCGCTTGTAATTATGCCGTCACAAGCTTCAAAGCTGTATTTATCATCTGAATTTGCCGAAACAAGTTTAATATTCTGAAAGCCAAGACTTTGTTTATTTGAAATCAGATGAAAACAAACTGTAACGGACCCTGCCGTGTTATCTATGATTACTCTACGCCTTACATTCATAATGTCAGTGGAGGGAGGGGGGGCGGCGCTGCGGAACAGCAGAGTGGCGAGTGAGAGCTGTCATCTTCCCTTTACAAGCTTCAAAAATGTATTTATCGTGTGAGTTTGGAAATAAAAGTTTCATATTCTGAAAGCCAAGACTTTGTTTATTTAAAATCAAACAAAACACCCGAACCCCGAAAAAATAGTTTTTTACGCAAATCCACGCTTATTTTTGAAATGAGCCGTTGCGACTTCCGACTGATTTCGATAGAGCGGGTCACATATGAGAACATCACAAAGTGTAAGGTAATCACAATAGAATAACATGTACACATAATTAAACACATTTGATACAGAATAAACAATGAAGTCAAAGCAATGAAAACAGTCAATCCAATTAAAATTAAATTGAATATAAAAGGTTTAATAGGGCAACCGAGTAGCTAAGAGACCTGTTGATTCAGCTGCGTGTTATATAGATTGAGGACTTGACGAATAAAAGAGTACTTGTATCAACTTGTTTTGGTCTAAATTTGTAGATGTCCTGTAAGAAAAAAATTTTTAAGGACACGGATATTTACCTCACACAGCCTCTTCTGCTGATCCAAGGTGTCTTTGGGCAACTTCTTCCTCTCGGTCTCCATGGTCAGACCCACGATGTACTCTCTGCAGATTGTGATCAGTTGCTGAGCCTGAAACACACACAGATCCCAATCACACAGGTGACCTTTACACATTTTAAAACAGTCAAACTTCAAGATATTTTTAAATATAGCAGCAGCGCCACGTGGGTTTGCTTAACACATTGAAATGATTCCTGCTGCATTTGGAGGTTCAAGCTGGTTTGGTGCTCACCTCTGCGATCTCCTGCTTGTTATCAACCACCAGCAGAGGAACGGACAGCAGGATGGCTCTGAAGCGCTCCACAGCCTCCTCAAAGCGCCCGGAGGTGGTCAGCTGGTAGCACTGCTGCAGGCGGGCGATGAGGTCGGAGAGGCGCAGGCCCACAGCAGGGAGGCCTTGCTTTGCCCCACAGTCCTAAAGTAAAAGAACATTACAATATTTGTACATTTGCAAGATTACATTCTGTAAATGAAATGGGTTTCAAAACAGGAAAGCAGTTTTATTTTATTATTTGTATGTATTTATCTTTTCATATGTCTATTTTATTATTATTATTTATCACTTTTTTTCTTTTCTTATGTTGGCTATGTAGATACAGCCAAATGAAAATGGAAAAACTGTTGACCAAAATGTGAACATGTATGTATAATGAAACTCAATCAAAAACTAAGTTAAAAAAAAACAGGAAAGCAGGAAGTGATTTATTCAAAGACTTAACTATTCATTTAAATGAATCCCCATGACTGACAGGGAATATACTGAGACTTTGAGTAAGGGGTGACTGTCAGCTTTACCTTCCAGTTCCTCTGGGGGTTTCCACGCAGGCAGGGCAGTGAGGGCAGCCCCAGGTGACAGGTGCGGCCTCGGGACAGCGTCTGCATGAACAGCGGCTTGTAGGCCTCGAAGCTCACAACTCCTACCTGGTCGTGGAGCAACTGTGGCACGAAAGGAGAACAATTAATGCGTTAATTAGTTGTATTACAATTTTGACGCTTTGCCCAAGTCAATAAGTTGTTAATTTAAAAAAGCAAACAAAAGAACTATTGGAAATAAATGGGACATTGTGTACATACTCTCATAGCAGTTTCGAACGAGCCGGCCAGGATGTGGTCCACTGGCAGCTGGGAGTTGTTGCACCAGATCTGTGTGGGACTCATGCCCTTGGTCGGTGGGACGAAGAAACCGTCTTCCGCTCCTCCACCTGCAGCCGGCAGGTCCTGATGGCACGGGGACAGACATTGTGATTACATGTAACATCATTAAAGTGTAGGAGAGCGCAAAAATGAACGAGTCAGTGAAACATTTAGCTTCAACGGTGCAAAGATTTGGAAAATGAGAGGCCTGTTGCTTAATAAAAGATAATGCTGGCAGTATATTGGGTTTTATCTTTAAAGCACTTATGTTGATTCTATAAACACTGTTTTAGTGCCTGGTGTTAACCATGATTTATTGATGGTGGGATTTGCAGCGGCTCTCACCAGCTCTGGAGGAAGGTCCAGGTCTTCCTCCACCTCCCAGCCTCCTCCCTCCTCTTTCACGCCTTCCTCTCCTAAGCCATCCTGGGCATCCATGAAGCCATCTGGGAGACAGAGAAAGATAGGGAAAGATAAATATGAGATTATACTGAATAATTCAGAAATTATGATGTGACTTTTTTTATTCACACTGAAATGTACCTTCATCCAGCTGAAGCTCAGCATCGTCTCCCCAGCCTTCGCCTCCGGGGGCCTCCATGTCCGCATCAGCCGCCATCTGACCCGCCTTCCCTACAACAGAAAAGAAATGTGTTCAAACTCTTTCAATTTATACGAGGAATTCTTTTAGTTCTGACGTAAAACACTTCTCATAGAGAGACGAAGCCCCTCCCTTTCCGGTGACCTCCATGGGACCTTATTTCGGAAAATGTATGTATTGAAGTCAATGGAGAGAGAAAATCTATCTTTCGATCCCGTTTGAATTGTGCCACGAATTACACATATGATGTTTGTCAATCTTAAAAAATAATTTCCATGTAAAAAAAGTCACAGTTTGTCGTAAAACTGTTGAAATATAAGATTGTGAAAAATACGCAACTAGAAAGACTACAAATCCCAGAATCCCGGTCCCGCATGCTGGTTCTCACGGAATCGACTAACTCCTGTTGTGTGTATGTACAGCTCTCAACATGCCCAGACTTGGAGTGATTTTCACCTCTTAATACTCTTCGCCTCATTCTGAAAGAAAGAAGTGAAATGTGCCAACGTGACGGCCATCTTGGTGTTGGTGCGAGACGGGAGATGTAGTTCATTGAGCAGTTTCACAAAAGAAAAGTGTTCACAGTTTTACGACACATTTCTTTTGTTTTGACTTGCAAAATTATCTTTTGA